TCGCTGTTTCACCTTCAGAGATGGCTTACGTCTCTCCCTTTCCTTGACACTGTCTCAAGGTATCTGTGTTGACTCCGTGAAAACCATCAAACTTTCCCATTTCCCCTGCCAAGGATTTCTTGTTAGAACCAGGAGTTAATGCTTTCTGCTTTTCTTTCTTCCGTAAGCCATTTGTCCACCCTATCACCTTGCTTGGGAAATGTGGTCACTGGCATCATCACCAAGCAGGACCTCTAGAATTTGGCCCAAGCTGAGCTCTTAGTCTGTACAATCTGAACTCATGGATGCCTCTTCCTTCCTCCAATTTGCTTCTTTGTAGGGTATCATTTTTTTTGTTTTGTTTTGTTTATTTTTGTTTCTCTCCTTTCTCCCTTGTTCTCTCTTCTTCACCCTGGGCATGCTCATCTAAGTAAATATAATACATATTGGATAACATACAACAAAGGCCTAATTGCCCAGTCATTCCAAACTCAACCCTTTGGGCCCATTAACAAATACATAACTTTGAGTGGCTCTGGGAACTAGCACAGTAGAATTTTCAGAAATTTTAAGAAAAATCTTGACCATGTGCCTGAATTTGTATACGGGAATATGATCATGTACAGAGTCCCACATGCCTTCTTAAACAGCCTAGAAACTTGGCCTAAAGCAAAGAACTAGCCGTATCAATAATCTTCTTCCTTCAATGTATGTTAATCCATATGTTAATCTATGGCGTAGCAGCAAACTACATGGATCTTTGCTGGTAGCCAGCTTGTTTGCAACCAGCCCATCCCCACATATGGACACATGTATTACAAGTTGTGAGAAGAAGGCTGGCATGCTTAGTTTACCAGAAGTACTAATCTCCCAAGGTGCAGAGTAGACCTGCACTGTGTTCAAAGTCATACTCCTGAACCGTTCACAAGAATTATGTTTCTTTCTAAACTGTATTTGCACAGAATCTAATGACAATCTTTCAGAAGTAGCATGGATTGGATTCTTGGAAATCTTAAAGACATTCTTTAAAGTGGCTCTTCAGGGACACCAAAGCCCATATCTAATTCTGAACCATCATAACATTTCTCCTTACCTAGACAGTTTAAATCAGTCCCGTTAGCAGGAATCAATTTATTTGGTTTAAAAAAAAAGAAAGAAAGAAAGAAAAAAGAAAGGAGCTACCCAGGCGATCAGCTTTTCTATTGTCCTTCCAACTGAGGAGCTGAAATAAGGCTGGTAACTAACTTCTGTCCACTGCTCTGCAAAGTCCTTGATGGAGACTCTGGCAACATTACCAGCTCATTTGGGCGTTATTGATGGCTGTCTTTTCTCCTTGTACAGCCCTGTTTCTTATTTCTGCAGGTGCACGGCTGCTGAGTGCAGTATGGACATGTTTTACAGGTCAAAACAGGCAGCTGGAGTCTTGTTTTTATCCACAGGCACCCCAACCTGGCCTGTGTGTGATAGAGTCCACCATCTTGGCCGACTTCCAGTGCCAAAATTGTTCTTGACTTCTAAGACATCCAGTGGGAGGGAATGGGGCTCCTGAACCCTGGAATGGGATTAGGAGTCTATTCAAAAAGTGCAATGGGGTCCTAGAAGGCGGGCATTGGGAAGCAGGCCCTGCCCTAGACAGCAAGGTGCAAAGGGCACAACTGGCCTCGGGGACTCCCTTCCCTTCCCCTGACCCAATACCCTTGACTCTTTTCCACCGCCTCAGGACTTGACCCTTTAGACAGTGGGAAATTAGCAGATTCATTCATGGCCAGGTAGGAGTGACATCAGGCTTAAAGAGCACTTGTCCTGTAAGAGAACCCCAGATGAGGACACAATTGAGCATGCATTCCGAATACCAGGAAGGAGGAGTTTCAGGGTAGGGGGCTTGTCACTATGCCTTCCAAGTCAAAGCCCACTGACCTCCCTTTATGAGTCCTACCAGTGGACTCAGGTGGGAGGACGGGAGCGACGTGTGGAAGGCATTAGGAACCCTTGGGACCGTAGGAATTGGGTGATTGCTCTCCCTGGCTTCCTTTTGATGGCTCTAGTCATTTGGGCAAATAGGATCAAAGGGACAAGAAAACCATCGGGTTTGCCATTTTCATTATTTCTGTCTCCCCAGGCGTCCAGGTGATCCCCAAAAGAGCATGTGTCCAGCCCCAGACCTGCCGGCTGGGAATCAGGATTCCTTCATCGCCCAGGCGCTGAGCACGCAGACCCACGGGCTTTGCCTCCAGCTCCTCCCGTCCGGCCGTCTCCCCTCCCCACGGCATGTTTCACCACCGCCCGGCCCTCCCTGATGCTCCATCAGAGTGTATTTTTGTAATTCCTCCAGCTACATTCTAATGGCCCCATATTTCATCCTCACCCACCTCTTGGCCTTCTAGGGCCGGGTGAGAGGAATATGGAATCAATTCTGGGGCTTTGACTCATCACTGCCATAACTTGTTTGTAAAAGAGCTGTTCTTTTTGACTGATTGTTGGAAACAACTGTTTCTCCATTAAACTTCTACTGAGCAAATGGTTAATAAACTGGTTTGCTGTTTTTAAGTGACGTGACTAAGAAGCACAGACTCCACAAACACGCTATAGGAGCCGCCTCTCCCAGGAGACAGAGGCAGAAGCTCACAGTCCTGCATCCTATAAAGTAGGGCAAGAGGCACTAGCAAAAGCAGCCCCAGGGCGCTCTGCCAACGGTGGGAACTGAGGCACACAGCCATGTGAAGGCACAGGCAGGAGGGACAAAGGGCCAGGGGTTCTCAGACCCGTGTGCATCTGCACCAGGAGGGGTCCAGGCTGCTGGGGTGCACCCTGGTTTCTGAGTAGATGGAAACTTGCATTTTTAGCAAGTTCCAGGTGATGCAAATCCTGCCAAAGCTACTTTTGTCTCCCACTTAACACTAAACATGGTGAAGTGTGTAACTGTCAGAACCCGGCCAGGAAACATGGGGAACACCCAGTAACTGAACGTCTACAAAGGCAGAAAGCAGGTCCTAGTCTGGGTTTTGCCCCTATAAGAAGATACAATTAGTTGTCCCTCAGTACCCACAGGGGACTGGTTTCAGGACCCTCTGTGGATACCAAAACCCAAGGATGCTCAAGTTCCCTACAAAAAAGTGATGTATCTGCATAAAGACCTACACAAACCTCCAATATGCTTTAAATTGTCTCCACTGATAATACCTAATACAACGTAAAGGCTGTAGAAATAGTTGCAGAGTTGTATTGTTTGGGGAATAATAAGAAGTCTGTACATGCTCAGTACAGATGCAATTTGTAGGGCTGTGGGGGGGCGGATACCAGGGATTGAACTCAGGGGAACTCGATCACTGAGCCACATCCCCGGCCCTATCTTGTATTTCTTTTTTTATTTAGAGACAGGGCCTCAATGAGTTTCTTAGCGCCTCACTTTTGCTGAGGCTGGCTTTGAAATCGTGATCCTCCTGCCTCAGCCTCCAGAGCCACTATGATTACGGGGTGTGCGCCACCACGCCGGCAGTACAGATGCAATTTTTAAAAAGTGTTTTCAGCCTGCAGTTGGTTGAATCTTCAGATGCGGAACCCACAGATATGGAGGGCAAACTACCACAAACTGAGAACATTATGGGGTTTATTTGGCTTACAGTTCTGGAGGCTGGGAAGTCCAAGACAAGGGGCCACACAGGCTGCATCCTAACATGGCAGAAGGAAACGCAAGACAGAGGCAGGGGGAACTTCCCTGTTCATCAGGAGCCCACAACCACAGGAACTAACCCTCTCATGAGCCACAATCCACTCATGAGGCTGCAGCCAGGACCTAATTGCCTCTAAGAGGCCCCACCTCCTAATAAGATCCTTATATTCGCTATTAACTTCAACACGCGCTTTGGAGGGGACACTCAGACCCCAGCAAGAGGTACAGGAAGTCAGCAGATGGTAAGGCCTGTCGGGAGTTAGGGAGCCCTGGCAGCGGTAAGGGAGTTCTAGAACTCCTAAGTGCATCTCTCTGGAGCTTGCAGTAGAGGACAGTTATTCACACACAGGGAGCCCTGCGGTTCAGTACCCCCACTTCTCTCCCCTTCCCACTTCCCAACTTTGTTCTGGTGTCTCCTGAGGACCCCACCAGGAGCTGGAAAGCTAGAGGGCCCCCTAATGCCACCACAAAGACCCCCATCATCAAGCCTCAAATGCATAAACCAGTCCCTGGGTGGGATATTTTTCTGCTTCAAACCCCTGCCCACCGAGGCCAGCTTTACCAGCCTGTGGGCCTCCACAGCACCCAGAATCTGACTTTAGCAGGCAGACCATGCTCAGAGTAGAGTGCTATTCTTTGGACATGTCTGAATATGTCCCTCAAAGGTGCCTATGTTGGATGTGCAGTCCTCAATGTGGCAATTGGGAGGTGGTACCCAGCAGAGGGCCCTAGGTGTGTCCTAGGAAGGGACTCAGGGACTCCAGCCTCTCTGGCTTCCTGTTTTCCCAATGTGACCCATCTCTCCCTCCTACAGGAGCTGCCACCATTGCCATCTGCCATCAGGCAAACAGCCAAGGGGTGCCCTGCAAGAGCTTGACCAGGAAGTTTGGATTTCCAGTCCCTCAAACTGTGAGCTAAATAAACCTTTCTTCCTTTATAAAGTTAGCCTGCCTCAGATATTTCATTATAGTAAGGAAAAGCTGACTAATACTTAGGGTATGACTTATTTTCTCCTTTATCCCAAGCCCCTTCCTCAACACACTTGGGAATATGGTCCAGAATATATTCCCTTTGTCAACATGAGCAGTTCAAAATAGTTACTGCCTGGATCACAGCCCTGGTGCCATTATCTCCCCATCTGTGATCTGGGCAAGATATTTAGGCTTGGTGCCTCCCTCTCCTCGTTTGTAAAGTAGCAGCAACAGCAACGCCCTCACACAAGCAGCTGGCCCAGTTCCTGGCAAATGTTACTTCCTGGTTCCAGAGGGTGACATGCTAGCACTCGTCTCACACCAAGGACACTGAGACGCTTACTCTTTATAGGAGCAGGAGGAAGAAAAAACACACCAAGTCAGACAATGTACCATTTTATTCCTTATAAAATATATTTCATATTGTTGCTGTAAAAACATTACATTTCACATTTTTTTAAAAAAATTTTAACAGTAAAAATAATACTTGGAAGACAGCTGGGCAGGGGGTGGGGGGTGCCAATAAAACAATTCACAAATGGGATTTATCTCCCTTTTTTTTTTTTTTTTTTTTCTTTTTACCCCTGGTGAAGTCAGAACCTGGAATGACCAGAAAGGAACAGGACAGATTTCTTCCAACAGAGTTCCCACATCCGATATTGTCCTTCAAAAAGTCACTGACTGCTCACAACTCTGTTTGAGGTTACACGATGGCCTTCAGAGAGGGGTTAAAAGTCACCTCGTTAACTCTGAGCTGTGTTACTTGAGAGTCCTTTGACTCTCCACCTGAGTCGTGCCCTGACCACAGACATGGTCTGGACTCTGCACTGAACACACATGGCGGAGACCCAGCCTCACGGAGGCTGCTCCAAACACAGCCCCGGCTCTGAAGGCACCTCAAAGAGAACCCGAATACGGGGAACGTCACTGGACACCTTTCCTTAGGTAACTGCTTTGCAGATGAGTCCTGTTACTTTCAAACGCACACCTGCGGCATCTTCCTCCAGCCAGATTCTGCGGCCCCCAGGGGTCTGGGAAGCAGGGAGAGATCGCCGGGTCGACTCACCAGCCACCCCCACCCTCCCAGGAGGAACAAGCGGAGCAACCCCAAGGACAAGCCGCCCGGCAGGAACCAACATAAGAGCAACGAGATGGAGAAGCGGGTGGACGGAGGGCGAGGAGGCCCGCGCCACCACCAAGGGGGAAGGAGCCGATGCAACAGGGAAGGCCGCATGGAAAGGAGATAAAGGACAAGAACAAGAAAGCCACCTCAGCTTTTAAAGTGTCCCATCAATTCCTTCTCTCTCTCCTCCTTTTCTGTCTTGGGTACCCACGGCATGAGAAGCCGGCCACACATGGAGAACATCTTTGTATCCAGTTTTTATCTCCAAGGTCCAAATGGAGGCAGGGATTAAAACAGCTCTGCTGACGGTGAGACTCAGCGCAAGCCGGGGTTTAAGAGGGGGGACCTCTTGCACAGTCCCCACGTGTCCACATGCCCCCGTGCTCCCTTCCCCAGTAAGATCTGAAGACGGACAACGTGGGAAATGAGGCAAGAAGGCCATCAGCTTTTAACTCTCCTTGCAGTCGAAGAGACACAAGAGCCTGGACCACCTCTGGCTGACCTGGTTTCAAGCTTCACCAAGAAACAGAATCCCATATACATCTTTCTCCTAAAATATAAAAATATATCCCCACCCCCACCAAAGACACTCTTGCATAAGAGGGGCTGTCCCTTCTGTCATCAGCCCAGGCCACTACACCCTTCACCACATCACACCCCTATTCTTAGGTTTGCAGGTTTGGTAATGCTCCATGTGTCTCAGATTGAAAAACAGACATTTATTTCCCACGTGAAGCCACCAACAGAGCGTCAGCAGCCAGGTGTTTTCACCTGGGACGAAGAGGACAGTCTCAATGATAATCAAAGGTGGACACTGCTGCTCAGGCTCAGGAGAGGTGGATTGGTGGGACTCCCTAAGCCTGTGACACCTGGGACATCGGTCCAGGACTCATGTCTGAGACAGCCGGGCCCCGGGTGGTCATGTTCAGCAGGCCACAAGCGTTGCAGCCAAGTCGGCTGGGAGGAAGGAGAGACTCAGACAACATCAGGGCTTGGCCCACTCCGTCTCCATTCATCCTTAGTTGGCACTCAACTGCCTCAATCTCTGCCCTCGACAAGAACAGCCTGGCAGACTGACCTCAGTGCAACCCTCTCCCCCAAAGCCCTGCGGCCTCTAGAGACACCAAGGGCCAAAACGGCAGGAATGGCTAGCCCACCCTGCCTTCCTCTTGGACTTCCCGAATCTCACTCCCACAAGGACTCGCCTTGACCTTCTTCACCCTGCCTTCCGCACAAAGCAAAAACGAGGAAACCCCTGGTGAAGCCCAGAGACGAGAGCGCCTCCAGAGTTTCTCAGGGCCACCCACAGAAAGGGCTTCTGAATGAACCAGATGAGATTCAACGGTTCTGGCCTGTCCTTCCACACGGGAGGGAAGGACCTCGGGGGGCTTTGTTCAGGTAAGGACAGTTCCCCAGACACTGAGACCTCTAGCACTTCCTCCAGGACACAGAAGGATGGTCAAGGTAGTGTTGAACCGCCCCGTCTCAGAAACCATCAGCCTGGGCTCAGCGATTTGAGGACAGTCTTTAAAAGCAGACTCGTGTGGGCTTTGAAAAGAAGTCATGTAGCACTTGTTGGGAGGCAGCCCAACCTCTGAGGAAACCCAGATTGAAATGCTGTCACCTTTGAAGGATTTTCCTCTTCCTTCCAAAAGCTGTTCAGACAGGGAAGAGGAGCCACCCCCCAGGAGGCACACGTCTGCTGCCCTCCCCACCTGTGGTCCTGCCTCATGTCACCCCCAGCCAGAAACTTCCTCATTTTTTAAGAAAAAGAAATTCATCTTGCTCACAGTCCTTTCTGGAAAAGTTGAGAAAACAAAGGATCCACCAACTCGGCAGGAAACAGGACACACAGTCCAGTACAAACCAGTGCCCCCGGGGCAGGGCAGGTGGGAGGGACTAGTAATTCTTTGGTCTCTGGTTCGCTGCAGAATACCCTTCGTCAGTCTTGGCTCTCTCCTATTTTAGGGGAAAAAATATTTTTGCTTCTTTTTTAAAAAATAAAACGTTCCCACAAGGGGGAGAAAGTGTTTTAAGTGTTACACTTGAGCCAACAGAGTGGGAACCACCCGCTCGGGCTCTGCACCTCTCTGCTTCCCCCAAGGCCGACTGCCATCAGGCTGCCGGGCAGGGCTGGAGCAGAGTGGCTGGCGGCTCAGTCCAGGAAGCGCTGGCAGGCCTTCTTCCACCGGCAGGCCGTGCACCACTGGTCCCGGTGCTCGATGCCGTACACCTTGCGGCACTTCTTGGCCTCCCCACGGGCTTTCCTGTCAAAAGAAAAAACAAATGCAGAGTCACGACCTGGACGGCACCAGGCAGGAAGCTAGGCAAACAGGCCCCCCAAAGGCCCAACGGGTCAGAGGCTCAGGGGACAGAAGCCAGCCCTTCCAGTGTGTCCTCCACCCGGGATCCCCTCTGGGGACCGATCCTACTAACTACCGTTGGTTGAACTCAGGCTCCACACTATCAGGAGACGGGGAACAAAAAACAAAACACCAGCCAGGCGTGGGGGCACACGCCTATTATCCCAGTGGCTCAGGCTGAGGCAGGAGGACTGCGAGTGCAAAGCCAGCCTCAGCAACTCACTGAGGCCCTAAGCAACTCAGCAAGGCCCTAACTCTAGATAAAATGAAACAAAGGACATAGATGTAGCTCAGTGGTTAAGGGCCCCTGGGTTCAATCCGTATTACCAAAAAAAAAAAAAAAAAGGCAGAGTACAGCAGCAGACATCTCACCTGGCACTGCCCTGGGCCCGGGGTGGAGAGGTGACGATCAGGTGAGACTTTGCTGCAGGTGGAGGCTGCGGCTCGCTGAAGCTGAGTGACCGGCTCCGAACCTGGGCATGAGGAATGGGGCCGTAAGGACAGGCTGTGAGCACAAGGGCATCCTCCAGGACAGGAGGCCACACTTCCCGAGCTCCTGGGTGCACTGCTGGACCCCACAGCCAGTGCCAACACAGGAGGCACAAGGCCCCCCTCTGGAAGGGCGCTGTGGGTAGAGAGGCTCACAGCAGCCAAAGGTAGGTTGGGGGAGGCTGCAGCGGAGAGGATTTAGACAGAGTTCCCACATGTGGAACAAGTGAGGGCATCCTGCTGCCTCAATGGCACCTTCTAGCAACTGGATTTTGCAAAGTGTGACACCTCCCTGCGGCGCATACTTGAGATCAGAGCCGAGCACATGTGGTGTCAACGACTTATGATTCATTTTACTTCAGACGTAGCGACCGAAGGTGCTGGTCCACACAGGCCTGGAGATTTCTGATCAGCCACACAGAGCTTACAGAGCCATCTTCTGACTGTCCCACATTCTCCCGCTTCCTCTCCTCTTGGCATTAAAACCCTAACAAGCACCAACACTCAGAGGCAGGGAACTGACCCCAGCCCCCCCCCCCAGTGATTTTCTGGGCAGGTACCTTGCCTCAGCTTCTGAGATGGACTATGACCAGCTGAGGAGTACTGGGCGGGGGAGGGACGACACGTGGAGAGCTTCACAAAGTTTGGGGTCCAGAGGCCCAGTGACAACCCCCACCATGGTCTGTGTACTGAAGAGATGGCCAGCAGCCCTGCAGGTGTGTGCAAGAGCCCTGGCCTTGTACCAGTGCCCCAGAGTGCTGAAGGTCACTCACCGGAGAGAGCGGGGAGGCGGCGGCAGGAGCAGCAGCCCAGCTGATGCTGGTGTAGATGTGGGGAGAGACGGGGATCTGGAAGGATGGCAGAGCCTGTGAGGACAAGGACTCATCAACTGGGGTTCCAGCTCAGAAAGTCCCCAGTCTGCCCAGCGTGCCTGTAATGTCACGTTCCACAGCAGGAAGTGCACCTCTGTCTACGTGAGATGACTGGGAAGATGTCCTGGGGCACACCAGAGGGGTCCTCCCCGGAGCAAGCTCAGAGCACCCAGCTCTTCAAAGTAGTATCCTTGGTACCAGGCTCCAACCTTGCTTTGGAGCCCTCGTCTCAGAGCTGGTTACATGCCAGGTAGGTGACTCAATCCCGCAGGGCACTAACTTCTCGGTTAGATCACCTACCAAGAATATGCCACAGGCAGTTGCCAAGAAAAGTCTAAAACATCTGAGTGGGGGAGGAACTGGTAGAATACAACACTGAGTCACCAGGTAACTATGTGGTCAGGGATGTCCTATGTGGTCAGGAGACCCTTGCAAAAATACCAGACACATTGTCCAGGCACCACAGGGTCAGCTAGAGCTGGACACTGGCCAAAGGTGAAATAGCAAAGTGGCTACTCGCTCAATGAGAAGAAGAACCAGCGCATTTTTTTTTTTTAAGTTTTCTGATAGGAAGAACTACTTTTTAATTACTAACTTGCAAACTGGTCCAGAGTCTAAAAAGACCAAGCTGTGGGCACAGAAAGATTTTAAAACCAGTGCACAGGAACCTGCACACATACCTACTGTGTGCAGGAAGATCATCCTAAAGTCGCCTCCCTGTGACAACTTTCCTACCTGCTTCAGCATAACAGTGTGATCCCTCCTCTATACACAATGACTTCTTTTGCCTCCAGTAAACAGTACTGGCCTCCTTATTATAATTAGCCAGGCTCCACACATTTCCTCACCAGCTATAGCACACTCTCCACAGGGTGGGGACTGCGTCTGATTCTTTCTAAAGGCTGACTCAGCCCAATGTCTGACACACAGCAGGTATTCAAAAGAGGGTTGTTTGATTAACATAACTGTAGAAATCAAAGATTTACCCCCCAAGAAGTCCAAAGACACTACTGCATCACCTTTTAAACCAGAGATGTGGGACTGCGGATGTGGCTCAGTGGTAGAGCACTTACCCAGCATGTGCAAGGCCCTGGGTTCAATCCCCAATACCGCGATAAATAAATAAATAAACCAGCAATGGGAGGACACCCCAGCCCAAATCCATCAGCCTGGTCACGCAGAGATTCAGCTGGGTTCCTCAGGACCACTCCTGACAATGACTGATGGGAGGGGTCTAGGAATCCCCACTTTTACATCTGACAGTGATGTCAGATTCGTTTCCTTTTTTGGAGAAGATTAGCAATGTGGTCCAAGTGCTCAGCCTTCAATCAGGGGGGTCAGGGGCCTGTGATTCGGCTGACCAGTGACCGGCTGGGACCCAAGGCTGAACCCCTGAGAGCCGCCGTCCATACCTGGTATGCATGGTCAGCCTGAATGTGCCAGAAGGAGCCAGGAGCTGACTTGCTGAGAGCACCCGAGGGCAGGGGAGACTCCAGACCAGAGTGTTCCGGGCCAGAGGTCTGGGCTTTGGACAGAGGCAGTGGAAGAGTGGCAAGGGATGGGCTGGTCACTCGGGGGGTGGGAGCTGGCTCAACGGTGGGAGTCCCAGGGGCAGAGGGGACTGCCGCAGCCACAGCAGACTCCTCCTTCATCTGCACCTCTGTGTAGTAGAAATCCTCCTCCCGCTTGAACTGGTCAGAGTCCACGGTGTCCCTGTGCAGAAGGAGATGAGGTTATCATCAGGGACATGCAGCCCTCCTCCGCAGCCAGCGGAAACCAAGGTATAAGAGGGAAGCCACTGCCTGGGGCTACCCAGCAAGTCAGAGAAGGAGCCCAAGAGAGTGCCCAGACACCCTGTTCCCAACAAGTGTCACCAGGGACTACGTGTTCACACATCAGCAGAAACTGTTTTTCCGGGCACAAAGGCTCACCCTCACAGAGCACGTACGCACACCCACTCCCTTACACTGAGTCAGTTCCTGCCAGGGCAGTCACTAGGCTGGCTCTGCACAGAGTCAACGTCCTGGTGCCACCTCAGTGCTGATGGATACTCAACTCCCAGGGGGAAGCAGGTACAGCATTGACCACTCCATGTCTTGGCTACAGGGTCCATCAGTGAATGGACCAAATTACCCTATTTCTACCCAGAACTAAAACATCTTGCTTCCTACATGGGGCATGAGACAGATCCATAAGGCAGGCAGGGCTAGGTTCCACAAATAGCATGGACATTCACCAGGAAGTGAGGGACTGTCCTCCCCAACAAGGACATCATCCTGACAGCAGCCAGGGGTCAGTACAGGGGTTTCCCAGCAAGTCATTTCCTTGAAAGCACCTGGGCTCTGGGTCTTGGGGAAGTATCCAGGTGAAGGGACACCTAAATGGCACCACAGGCAAGAGGCCCTGAGTTCCGTACCTACCCCAAGTGGAGGGCTTTGACGTGTCGCTTGATGCCCACGATCGAGCGCAGGACTTTGCCACAGTTGGGCCACAGGCACTTGTACATCACCTTCACAGAGTTCTAGGGGAAAAAGGAAGTCTGGGTACCTGGCACACTTCCCCACCACCCCCTCGTTCATCCTCACCCGGTGGGGCCCTCTGCCGGCTGCAATCCTCTGCAGACCCAGCAAAAGGCTCTAGGGAAGGGGCTTCTCTGGGAGCAGAGAAATGGCCACCAGGGGGCCCTGCAAGTGGTCCTGGGGACACAGCAGTGCCCGGTGCTGCAGCTATGAGTCCACCTGCAGCCCCTCATGCGTGGCCCTCTGTAGGAGGACAGGGAAGGAGGCAGGGACTGGGGTAGAGGCTAAAAAGAAAAAGTGGTATCCAAGAGAAGGAGCCGGTCCCAGGAACACCACAAAGTAGCAGACGTAGCAAAGGAGAACTGTAGAGGGGGGAGTGGTGACCATCTGGGGCCTGTGGGGTCCCTGCTGCTCCAGAGCTGGCCCTTCCTGCTCACCAGACACCTACCTTCCTTTTGCGTGGAGCTGGTTCATCCAACAGGAAAGGGTCAGGATCGGTCTCAAAGCCATGATCAGTTTGGGGAGAACCAAAGGCATCCCCCAAATACTTGGGGCTGGCCTGGGGGTGTGGCGGCGAAGGGGTGGAGATGCCGCTGCTCCCGCTCCAGTGCCCGCTGGTGGTGCTGCTGCCACTGTCTGACACATCGCCGCTCTCCTTCCACGGGTCACCCGAGACCACACGGGAGGCTGGCCAGATGAAAGAAGATGAGAGAGGACGCTCAGGGCTTGTTCCCAGGCACAAAGAAAAAACAAATCAAAACAGAAAGTCCTTTTCAGGCCTGCAGCAAAAGTTAGGGAGCCGGTCCATTCACTGCAGCAATATCTACTGGTAGAACTGGTCTACCCCGTTGGACACTTTCTGCCACAGCCACATCGGTCATCCCTGACCAGCAGATGCACACTGTAACTTCCTTTTGTGCAGGATTAATAGAAAAAGACTGAGTTGAAATTCTTTTCTCACTGTTTATGCTAAAAAGCAGGGGGAGCCTCTCCTGCCTCCAGCCTGGCTGAGGAACACGAGTCCAGGAAGATCATCCTAAATGTCACCTCCCCGAGACAACAGGGGAGACGATGCATAGCTGAGGAGCACGGTGTGTGGGGGGGGGGGGGCGCACGAGGGGCGTCTGTCTTGCTCAAGTCCTGAAAAATGCATTCCAATCAGGTAATCTATCAGGGAGAGGAGGGCAGGGAGCAGAACACTACATCTAGGATGACCAGCACTAGGGACAAAGGGGTCAGCCAGCAACAAGCTCTTTCTCAGAAGTTTTTCTAGGGAAGCAATACCAGATAAATATTGTATTATCATGAGAACAAAGTACTCCTTTGCAAATGCATTGCAGTGACAGTTTACAAGTGAACTTTTAAGAAATACTTATGGGCTGGAGATGTAGCTTAGTGGCAGAGCACATGTCTAGCATCCACAAGACCCTGGGTCAATCCCTGGTACCGTAGGGAAAAAAAAGAAAAATATTCACAATCCCCTGTGTATACACACTCAGAGCACCATCCTAACAATACATAGACCAAAGGATGCAGGTGGTTTTTGTGCAAACAGTACTCATGATTAATGCAGTTTTGGGGGGGGGGGTGGGGGCTGTTGTGTGTACCTCACTTTACAAACTTCAAATAATTAATTGCCAAGGAAGACTTACGTTTCCACTAATTTCAATTATAAGATCAGAAGTATGTTTGACAGGGTTGGGGTTGTGGCTCAGTGGTACAGCGCTCACCTAGCACGTGCGAGGCCCTGGGTTCGATCCTCAGTACCACATAAAAATAAATAAATAAAGATATTGTGACCAACTAAAAAATAAACATTTAAAAAAAAAGAAATATGTTTGAATGGAAATCTTTAAAAGACATTGAAAAGTTTTGTCAAAAAGGGACTGAAGCTAACAGGATTCAGGCAGGTGATTGGTGATATGCACGTGGGAGGATGAGCGTGTGTGAGTGCACACACACACTTCTGATGGGAGTTGGAGTCGGTAGTTTTCTTTTCCTTCAGGGCATTTTCCTGGATCTGTTGATCCAACCTCCCAGATCTCCCAGTGTTATGCTTTAAATGTAAGGTGTCTGAAGCTCACATGTGAGACAATGCAAGAAAGTTTGGAGGAGAAATGATTGGGTGACAGCTTTAGCCTAATCAGTGTGAATTGGCAGGGTGTGGCCGGAGGAGGTGGGCATTGGGGCGTGGCTTTGGTATATATATTTGTATCTGGCAAGTGGAGTCGCTTTCTCTCTGCTTCTTGATCACCACGACGTGAGCTGCTCCCTCTGCCACACACTCCACCATGATGTTCAGCCTCATCTTGAGCCCCATAGAAATTGAGCCAGCCTTCTGTGGGCTAAGACCTCTGAATTCGTGAGCCCTCACATAAACTTTTCCTCAGTTATACTTGTTCTAGTCAGAACCTTTAGTCACAGGAGTGAAAAAGCTGACTAAAACACCCAGATTTGCAGGACTTCCTAAAAACTAATTGACTTCCCTCCTCTGGGTTTTGCTCATCAAGCAGACATGCACTACTGAGCTTCACCTCTAGGTGTCCTCAGAGTGCAGAGACACCTTCCAACAGGCTTTGGGTGAAAAAAAAACAATTTGTCCTTCATATTCACTTCCTATCTAGGGAGACTAAATACGAGGAACACATGTAATGGGCACTTTCCTACTGGCACATGCTTAGAGCTAACTCTACATTCCCCTAAGTTTTAAGTAGCTTGTTATTCAGTTAGGTCACATAGATGAAAAAGTTCTTCCCTGGGTGTAAGGTAGGCCAGCTCTATAACAAATTTCCAAGAAAACTTCAGATTCCCTATTGGTCTTGTCAAAAAAACTGATGCAATCTGTCTTCCCCTCGTATCACTGAGAAAGTATTCTGAGGTTGCAGCCAGAATTTTGTTTTAATTTGTAAGTCTGAAGTCATACCATTGTCTTTTATGAAGCAATGAGATTTAGCTGAGACTTCAGCTCATTGATTCCTGTCCTTGACCTGTAGGCCCACACTAATTTGCAAGGCTGAATTAGGCACTTGGAAAAGCAGCATGAATTTTCTTGAGGCCATGAGGGGACTGTTTAGCATATTTCTACCTCTGTGAACGAAATATTCCTCTACTGGCCTTGTTCAGGCCCCCATCAAAGTGCCACACTCACTTAATGCCACAGCAGAACTTACTCCAGTGGCCAGTTGGCTCAGTGCTGAGCTCAATCACCTCCACAGTGCACCAGGAAGCTTCTCCCAGATGAGGAAACTGAGGGAAAAGGACAAAGCTTCTGACTCAATGTCACTCAGGCAGTCTGAAGGGCCTCGGGAAATCCTACTGCCAAGCCGGCTGTGACCAGCTACTCAGAGCACAGGTGTCAGTCACCAGCCTCTGCATGCCCAGACCCTCCTGCCTCTGTTTGCTCACCAGAGAAGTTGGCCTCGGCCCCAGGAGGACTCTGCACAACCGGGCTGCAGGACAGCGATGTCAACACCATGGCCGCCATCATCTCGTCCATTTCCACCGCATCTGACTTCCTAGATTCAAATGGGTAGGTGGGAAAGTTTACTTCCTGGGCCAGCTGGTCTGCAGTGCCCGGGGAAAGAGACGCCACTTCCGGTTATCTTCATGGGATCGTCTTACACTTCTGCACTGTCCCCACAGAGCCCCTCTCCAATCAGCCAGTGTGTGCTCCAGAAACAGCAAGGTCTTTCCCCCCTCTTCATGAAAAATGCTCCTTCTGAAAGATGTTTACAATATCAGCCCCAGTATGACAGGGTCCTCTGTTTCAACCGGGCTGACGCCCTGGGGCAGCCCCATGCTCCCCTGACTTGGCTTTTAACTCCACAGCCTCACATGCAGCATTTTATTTGGGAAAAGAGAGAAGACACCAAAAAAAAAAAGATACAGCAAAGTTGGAAATGCAAGATGCCCACTGGAATCCAAAAAGCATGAAAACTACCTCTTTTCCTATTCTCATACTTAAATTTAGAGGGGAATATTACACAAATCAATATCTTCCTCCTCTTCTCCAAAACAAACAAGGCATTCTGTTAGTTTCTGAAGGTCAATGAAACCTCCTACATTAGCCAATGAGTAAACAGACCAGAAACACAAGAAAAATCTGGTGCAAATCTCCATGCTTTATACAGCAAAGTTCCACAAAGTTTTACATGTGATTTTAACAATTCATATTCAGTTATATTGTTCAAAAGAAAAATTAGGACTATCTGTAAGTTCATGCTAAATATTAGGAAAAGTTAGTCAGAAATCAACATGTAGGAGGTCTATTTCAAAGGACTGTATTAATTCATTCTTCACAATTCAGGTCTATTAAACTATGCAACTGGGTTTGAAGCAGCTAAACCAAGACCCACAATGTGTTAAACGTGTTTATTAATATGTTCTTTGAATTTTCAAATTTCCACAGAATAAAAAAATAATTTATTTGCTGGTTTTCCACTGAAATACTGTGGCTCTGGTCTCAAAACACCGCATCTCCCACCAATGGCACTAGCACCCACAGACAGAGAAGGAGAGGTGGCTCAGGGCTTAAGTGCTTGCACATCTTGTATATAAAATAGATTTTCTTTTTAAAATTTTTAGGGGGGCTATGGTTGGTTTGACATTTTAAATAGTTTTCAGAATCAAAAGAAGAATATTATTTCTTGACCTGTGACACATAAGAATTGTATTAAGTCTGAGCATCCATAAATGAAGTTTCACGGGAGCAGAGCTGAGCCTGCTGACTTCACTGATCATCTGTGGCTGCTGGGACGCAACCACAGTGGGGCTGAGCTGCAGTGACTGGCCCACGAAGCCCCGATTATTTACTGTTTGCCCTTTTAAACCTGTCTGCTGCCTCCTGATCCGAGCCATTTCTTCCTGTCTCTGCTCATGAAAAACTATGAACTGAGTTTGCCTTAAGTGCGCAGGGGATGAGAAGCCCTTTGCTAAAGTAAAGATGTGTCACCCCGAATAATGTTATGGGCAGGAAAAGACGCCCGGCTGGCTTCCTCCAAAGGATGCCTGCTCTCTGTATTCCGTTTGTCACCACCATCCCCCCACCTCCAGGCAGCCCCGCTCACACCCCTCACTGCCCACACGAACCTCTTTGGGACATCAATGTTCCTGGAGACAGGTCTGTAAGCCATTGCCTGGGCCCCGTGCTCTGGAGGTGGCACCTGGGGCATCATGCCGTGCAGCTCTGCCAGCCATATTTCCTCCGCCCTGCAGCAGATCTGTAACTTCTGGTCCAACAGCCAGACCGTCACCTTGTCCTCTGCCCAGCTGTGCTGCTCCACCAGGCCTGTACACTCCTGACCGCCGTACCACACATAGACCTGCAGGGAACAACAGCCGGAAGTCAGCACACAACAGTTCTCACCCCAAAGCTCTCGGGTGCCCGGGTCCCGGGAGTCGGGGTCTGCTCGCCACAGGCTGCACTCTCTGACTCACTTATCCTTAATTCATGGGTGTTTTGGTCTGAATGTGATGGAAACTTAATCTCCAGTGCAACAGTGTTAGGGGAGGGACCTATCAGGAGATGATTGGGCCATGAGGACTCTGCCCTCCTGGATGGATTAATGCCACCACCATGGGGGTGGGTTAGATATGTCACCAGTGGGCCAGGTTGTTATAAAAGCAACTTCAGCCCCCTGTTACTATCTCTCTCTTGTTGCCCTCTCCTGCCCCTCCACCTTCCACCATGGGATGATGCAGCACGAAGGCCCTCTCCAGATGCAGCACCAAGGACTTCCCAGCCTCTAGAACCACAAACCAAATAACTATTGTACATAAATTACCCAGTCACAGGTATTCTGTTATTACAGCTGAAACCAGACTAAGAGCAGATGTTCCCAGGCACCTGCTGCCCACCCAAGTACCCAGACTAGCCACATTGGATCAGTTCTTCCCCCAAAGAGGTCCTTATTCACTCTCTAGACTGGAAGACAGTGAACATGTCAGTAGCTGAGATTTCTCTGAATCTGGAATCTGTACCCATCTTCCTGATCTCTTGCCCTGCTTATCTCTTGAAATCCTGCCTATCTGCTGGCACCCACCAAATGCTCTTGCCCAGAATTTCTCATACCCTGCATTCTTCTCTTCAGAGAATTCTCAGTCTCCCTGAGGATAAGCCAGAAAGGGGTAGAGGTAGGCTGACCTCTCTCAAGGGACACTTGGAGTTGGAAGTCACTTTATCTCATGGGAAGAGAGGCCTGGGGGGCACTTTTGTCTCGTGGGGAGACAGAGGCAGAGTCTCCATGGGTCCTTGAAAAGACGAGGACAGAGAACCCCAGGCATCTAGATGTAAGGATAATAACAGGCCGAGGTGATACTGGGTCCTGCCCCAGGGGAGGGGACACTGGAAATTCACATTAAACTCCAACTACACAAACCTCTTCATCTCCTAAAATATCCAAAACCTAATCTTCTCTGACTTTACAATCTGAGGTCCTTTCCCTTCTTCTGCAAAGCTGAAAATGGAGGCAAATTAAGAGCCACTGAGCTAAGCCCACACTTCAGACTGAGGTGCGGAACAGCCCAGAATGTCTGGCCACCTTCTGCTCCAAACAACAGCCGAGGAGGAGCCTGGAGTCTGGAATGAGGCAAGCTCTCGCTCCAATTCCAGAGATGGAGGGAAAGGTCTGCACTCACACTAGTGGCTGGAGAGTTTCTGGCCTGTCACTGGGGTGACCTCAGCCTGTCAGCCACAAGGTCTAGAGATGGGACACCTAGCCACACTGGGATCAACCTACCTTCTGTCCAGGCTGAAAGGCCACTTGCTGAAGGCCAGTGGTGCCCAGAGCCTTGAGGACCTCCTTGGGCTGCTCCTGGCACGTAGGGTCCTTGGAGGCGAGGAAGGGCTGGGGAGCAGCCCCCTCCGGAACCTCTGCCTGTGGCTCCAAGGGCAAGCTGGCCCCTGATGGCCCATCGGAGGCACTGGGTCCCAACACCCGGGCTCCCAGGAGAGACCGCTTACCAAGGCGGCGAGACAGCACACTGGCCATGCTGCTGTGTCTCCTGGGGAGGCAAAGGTGACAGTGAGTCAGTCTTCTGTCACCATCTACAGGAATCAGAAGGTCACACAGAGCCCTGCACATGGAATGGCAGGCACCAGCGAGTGTCCATCAAAACAGATGAAATATTTTAAAGAGACTTTTATCATTCTTTTTTCTTTTTACAAAATTGATTCCTGTTCCTAGCAGGGCATTTAGAAAATACTGATGAGCACAAAGAAAACCAAATCACTCAGGAAACTGCCTCCCAAAGATGTCTTGTCTAAATAGCATCCCCCTCTCTTCTAAACATGCAATTTACATACTTTTATTTCTACAAAAATAGTATCATTGTCTAGTAAACTGAGTTTTCATCTAATATGCTAGGTAAGTTTTTACTATATCATTAAATGTTATTCTATAAAATAGTCAGTGGGCTGGGTGTAGCTCAGGGGTAGAGAGCCTGCCTAGCAGACACAAAGCCCTGGGTTCAATCACCAGCACCAAAGGAAAAAAAAAAAAAAAAGCTACATAGTATTTTCTTAGGCAGATGCACCACTGCTGATTTATAAGTCCCTTTATTATTGTCCCTGAAAGCACATCCGATGTTTTGCTGTCTAAACTGTTCCTCCTGCTCCGAGAATTGTCTGAGCACACACGTCCACGCGCTTCCTTCTGTGACATTCCTGGGTACAGTACTGCCCGGTAAAGCATGAAGATACCTGTTGGTGACTTGCAGGTTCCCAAGGTAAATTGGCTTCAAAGCTGTGGAGAGCCTTGGAAATAAGCCAAGCTGCTCCACTCATCCTAGGAACCCTGAGCACCAGGTGACTTTCTCACGGTGACAAAGGTAACTGGTGCCAGAGCTTCCAAAAGGGCTCACAGAGGGGACCCCTGCCATGCCCCCACTCCCAGGACAGGGTCTTCTGGTAGAGAGGAAGGACCAGCACTTTGCCAACTCATGCTACCCTCCTCTACCCAGCCTCTGTGCTTCATCTCCTCCAGGGCCCCACTCACACTGGGGTTCCAAGCCCCCTGCTCCCCGGTTTGTGTATTCAGTTGGTATTTTGTTGAGCAGTGGGCATGCATAAGTGCACCCCAGGTGCTTCGGCAAATGTGAGACTGGGATCTTCAGGGCCCAGAACGCCCTGCGAGGCTCCTTCCACCCACTATTAGGCTAGGAGTCTCAAGAGGTGGTTCTGCTACATTCCTCCGGGTCCCCCCATCCCCCAGCCCCACTCACATAAAGAAGTCTGTCAGTGGAACTTTCTTTGAACAGTTCTATAAACCTTCTTCACTTTTCACCCAGTCCAAAAGCACCTCGGGGCTTACCGCGGGGCTTGTTGGGGTCCCGTCATCTCTCTATCTCCCAAATCCCAGCCCCTTTCCCAACTAGTCCAGCAAGTTCTGCTAGCATCTCTACAATAACACACCATGAAGGGCAAAAATAACTTTAAAGAAGAACACGAAAGTTGCAAATATTGAGCAAAAGGGTCTGGCTGGTTTTCCCCGGAGTTTTACTGGAGGCCTCAAGGGCTGGAATCTGATAGCACAGACAACTCCATTGTGAATTCCTGAGAAGGCAAAGAACAGATCAGGAAAAGGTCACAGTCACAGCACGCAGAGCTCCCTGATTAGGTGGCTGGTGACTTCACAGCCAATCACATTGTCTCAGAGCGCTTCACCATTGCAATAAAATAAAAAAAAAAAGTAGAAAAATGCAAGGAGTAAGTAAATTCCTTATCACTATGGGGGAATATGAACAGCTAAGCTAAATGGATTTTTTTTTTTTAAATATTTATTTATTTATTTATTTTAGTTTTCGGCGGACACAACATCTTTGTTTGTATGTGGTGCTGAGGATCGAACCCGGGCGGACACAACATCTTTGTTTGTATGTGGTGCTGAGGATCGAACCCGGGCCGCACGCATGCCAGGCGAGAGCGCTACCGTTTGAGCCACATCCCCAGCCCCGCTAAATGGATTTTAAAACTCAGTCCCCGGAGCTGAGGTGTGGCTCAGCAGTAGAGCACTTGCCTAGCACGCGTGAGGCCCTGCGACCCATTCCTAGCCCCGCACAAAAAACCCTCTGTTGGATTTCATTGAGCTGATGGGAGCTGGAGACGTGCAATGCCACTCACAGACATCAGGTGGCAGCACCGACCCAGAGAACCAACCAACCCTTTTCTGGCAAAAATCCCGGAGGCCACCCCCATCTCCAGAGCAGGAAGTTTGGGGTTTCTACCACTGAAAATGAAGACAGGGTAGAATTTCCAAATTCCTGAGTTTCCCAGTCTTCAGACAGCGCCTGAGATGTTTGGCCAACAAACTCCAACGATGTTTTTGTAAGCCTTTTTCTTTTCTTTTTAATTTAAAGAATACTTTTCCCTTTGTCGCGGGCCTGCACTTTCCAGAGCCCGCTAGATCTGCACCAAGCGGTGAACCTGCCCACTTCCGCCTGCTCCCGCGAGGCTCTCCTTCGTCGTCTAGCCTTTCCCCCCCCCCCCCCATTTGCACTTGAAAATACGTTTCTACCATTGGCTTTATTTATCATACTCCTAAATCTTAATTTTCTTAAGCAGAGAAGAAGGGAACCTGCCTTCTGTAAGTGCCCCTCAAAGCACTGGCTTTCACAAGCTGCATCTCATTTAATCCTCAGAGCACTGTGAGATAAGCACTTGGTCTCTGATTTCTGATGAGGCAACTGAGCTGCAGAGGGGGCAGGCTGCTGAGGCCACGAGACTAGGAACCCCACAGCCTTGGGTTTGATCTCATGGCTAGCTGGTGCCCAGGGTCACAGTTTTGCCACTAATTTAGTAGATGTGGGATCTCTCGAATTAAAACATTCAATTATGTTGCTTTTCATTACATGATTTTTTTTTTTCTCCCTTATAGTGACCCTTGAGAGAAAAGACAGTGCCTGGCCCTGCAAGTCTAGATTTCCATTTCCCCAGCTGGGAAAACCTCCCCTCCGTTTGCATATTCACCTATTCCCCACAAAATAAAGGCCAATGCATTGGTCTGCCCTCCTTCATCTGCCCTCCTTCATTGGCCCAAGGCACTGTGAACCATTTAGAGGCTCAAGTTGGGGATGACCTCTATACACACAGTGCACAAAGGAATAATGTGACTGACCCAAACAGAAAACCTGTAGCCAAGTTTTTGTAGCATGGAAGTAAAACTGGACAGCATCACCAGGCGCGGCCGGATGCCTCCCATGTCATCAGCATGCTACCTGTGCCATTGTGGCCCTGGCTCTATAGAGAAGACGATCACCAGGAGGCCAGGGGATTCCGAAGCAAACAAGAGCACCAACAAGGAGGGCTGTATGTGCGGGTGGGCCCTAGGGCCCTGCTCCTGGACCACTGTCCCTGTAGCCCTGCATCCGGGTGCTGCCCTCCTTCCCACCAGGCTTCTCTGCTGCTCCAGCCGAAGCATCCTTCAAATGTTTCTTCTCTCACCATTTCTACTCACTCCCCCATTTCTTGGGAGCTATCAATAGCTCAATACCAGCCAACCACTAATTAGACGTGTAATTCTAAAGCAGCCAAAAGAAACCAAGAAACCTCTATTTCAGGGAAACAATGATAATATTTCAATGTACAGCCAAACACCACTTTATGGTTTTACAGTCTTGACTTACAGAATTCCTCGAAGATTTCTGCTAACTCCTGCTAAAGACCTCTCAGGACGGTTGCAAGGGGACCGAGAGCCCTCCTGTGCTTCTCATCCCTACCACTGTCACAAATAGGAGGGGTTGGCAACCCTAGAATATGTATTTTGGTCAATGTCCAAAAAGGGTTAGCCCTTGTCCGGGCTCAACAAACATATCCTGATGTGCTAATGGCCTTTAATGAGGACATTTGCTACCAGTTAAGTAACTGGAACTGACAGAACAGTAAAACAAACCCTCTCTGTGGTTCGGAGTTGCAAATTGCTATTTATCATGGGACAGTTGCTGGACAACTGCATGTCTCAGCACACGTACGTGTGTGCACACATTCATACACAGGGGCTGCTCTCTCCTGCCACCCAGGGACATTGCAGCAGGCCATGACATCACCTAGCCCACACTTCTAGGATACAGGTCATAAGTTAGAGTGCTTTATCACACAACTAATGGACTTTTTTTAAAGTTAAGGAGGACGAAATTTGGAATAAGACTCCTATTTGCAAAAGCTGGGGTGCTTGCTACCTCTCTAATGAATAATTTATGGGTCAAGGTGATGGATAGCAACCCTCTGCCAAGGGCTCTGTTAAAGCTCAGCTTTCTGTATATTTAAGAACTCCATTGGTTACCACTGCACAGAACAACAGTTTTTAAGTTTTTGAGTTCTTATGCATCATTTTTCAATTTTTATCAGAAAGTCTTATTTTTAAAAAAATGTATAAGATTTTAAGTGATGTTTTCTTTCAGTGTCATCTTCTAAACTCAACCAATGGCCAAAATGCTGATGGCAAACCACATCTCTTGCTTTACAACAGGACTCCATGGGGAACAGGATTCATGAACTATTCCTTTAGCAATTCTTAGCCACTCACTCTGTTGATAGCTGCCATGTGTACTTGCAAGCATATTTATAATTATAAGCAAATATGTTTGTGGTCCTCCTGGTTTGGAGGTTGTCACATTCCATCATCACCATCTGCTGGTTTTCAAAGTTTGTTTGCTGTTGTTGTTGTTTCCCTTGGGATGTCTTCCCCAGAGAACATGAAAAACTACTTTGATAAGCACACATGAACTTTTCTTCACCTTGCTTTGGTTAGAAATCCCACTGAGAGCACTACTACATGAAAACTTTTTAATCTCTGAAATCATTTGTCAGGTTCTATTATACAACTTTTTAAAATTGGTGTGGTATGTGTTTAACATTTTATAAGCCAGATGTGGTGGTACACGCCTGTAATTCCAGCTACTGGGGAGGCCAAGGCTGGAGGATCACAAGTTCAAGGCCAGTCTGGGCAATTTGGCACAACCCTGTCTCAAAATAAAAAGTAAAATGGGCTGGAGATATAGTTCAGTGG